TTCTCGTTACACAGGATGTGGTCATCTCTATGGCGCGCATGTTCCTTGATTGTCATTGGTTAGTTTAAAGAAATCCCGGCTTCCGGGAAGAAGGTACTTTCCTGAGCACATGGTGACTGCTCCAACATGGTGGATCCAGGGTAAGACGGAGGGCATAGCCCTCGCCCTTTCACTTGCTAATAAGTGGAAGTCTACTTGTGGTTTCTGGAAAAGTTTGTTTGCTTGCCATAAGTAGGCACGTATTAACCCTTTCTCCTGCCTTTTCTTCCCATTTCCTTACTGGAATGTGGATGTAACAGCTGGAGCTGCAGCAGCCATTTCCAGGCCCTGGGGAAAAGGCCAGGATAATTATGTATCTGTTGATATTCCAGAAACTGCCTACTTCTAAACCTGTTTTTTGTTTTTTCTAAAGGAAAGAAATCTCTAATTTGTGTAAGCTCATTTGGTTGGTTTTTGGTTACTTGCAATCAAATGCAATTTCCAATGAACATAGTAACATTTAAATTAGCTTAAAAATATTATGCAGGTCAATGCATAATGTTACTTATATTTTCATCCACCATCACAAGGTATCTTGGATATTTCTGAATTATGTAAAATGGGAACACATTCTTTTGCAGTCAAGGTATCTATGATCAGACGATAGCTTTGGTGAGCTGTTCTTTTGAATGTCTTGTACTCATCACATTGCATTTAGATAATTAGTCATTTTAAAACCAAGCGCTCTGTCCTGGCCAAGGGGACTTAGTTGGTTGGAGCATTGTCCTGTACACCAAAAGGTTGTGGGCTCAATTCCTGGTCAGGGCACATGCCTAGGTTGCAGGTTCCATCACTGGTTGGGGTGAGTGCGGGAGGCAACCCATCAATATTTCTCTCTCATATCGATGTTTTCTTTCTCGCTCTCTTCCTTCCTCTCTCTCAAATCGATGAAAAACATATCTTCGGGTGAGGCTTAAAAACAAAAAAAAGCCCAAGGGATCTAGCAGGGTATCGGGAACCACAGATGTAAACAGCTGATTTTTTTCTCAAAAGCTGTTTCTCTCCAAAAGTCTTAATTCATAAATATTTCTACTAATGACACTGACCAAAGTTTTGGAGACAGAATGTTTCTAATCCTGCAGGGCTCAGGACTGTACTAAGGTACTATTCTTTTAGAAAATAGCACTTAGTTAAGTTTTACAAATTATCCCATCACAATTTATTTCCTCGTCTGCAGCACAGAGTGCCTGTCACAGGGAAACACCTGGTGGCCCCCAGCTTGCATGTGCGAGGGGCACAGTTTGACCAGTTCTTGCTGATGAGTGAGTGGCAGGCATACGTTCGGCTTCCAGGCCTGCCCAACTCACACAATCCTCTCCCGGGGCCCTCCACCCGCTTTCCCCTTTACAGCTGGGGGATGGAGAGGACCCCCAGGATGACCTCGGAAGCTACGAATGGATTACAGAACCTCCGTCCTTCTTGGGTTCCTGGAAATTGGAGGGAGGAGAGCCGCCCTGCTGAGCTCTTCTCCAGCCCAGACTGTTAGACTAGAAATGATGGAGCCCTTCGCTGGGGTGTGTGTTACAATACTCAGTTATGCAGTGGGGGCGAAGGGGCCCGTTGTATTTATTCACTCGTTTGACATGTGAATGCCTCCACGTGCCACCGGGCTCAGTGGCCTTGGCATGCTTTGGAACCAGTGTGGCCCACGCCAACAGCCAGTCCCATTCTGTGACAGGGGAGCCGGGGCCTAGAGCAGTGATGGCAAACCTTTTGAGCTCGGCAT